TGATCCATACGCCGAGTTGTCTGAAGTTTATAATATTTACTAATTCTACATTCTGAAAGTTTATGATGTATTCAGGGTAGGTGTCATTACTGCTTTCATTCCAATTCCAGATAATTTTTCCTATTTCGGAAAGGTTTATCTTGAGCCTCATTTCTTGAAATACTTGACAGAGGATACTAATTTCTGGACAAGATAATCCCAAATATGAACATGTGGTTCTACAGAACGATGCTGAGGATACCATGGACCGAATATATGAGCAACAACGATGTGTTAGAGAAAAATGGAAACGAAAAAAAAAACTTAAAATCAGGAAGAGACAGTTGGAATTTTTTGGGTACATTTTGAGGAAGGAAGGTTTGGAAAATCTGTTACTCACATGACAAATTGAGGGCAAGAGGGACAGAGGAAAACAACGTAGATTGAGAAAATCGTTGGCTGAACAGTGTTTAGAAATAAAGAAAAGACAGAATTCATTTAGAACTGTAAGGAATAGAAAATTGTGGAGAGCCACGATCTCCTACGTCTTAAGGGGGGCGGCAAATAAAGAAGAAGATGTCATCATGATAGCACTCTCCCACATCATCAGTACATCAGCCTCGCGGGGGAAATCAGGATCGTGGTCTTATATTGGTGGACTTATCTAAATCTTTATGGGATCAGTGTCTATCTCTTCACATCTGTGTTTGTAAATGGGCAGGACATTGTCCAAGAAGAAATTAAATAGACTGGGGCTATCATTTTCTCCTTGTACTCCAGAGGAGGTCTGAAATGTTTTCTTATTCGGGTTCTCGCCAGACCTGTAAGAATCTGTAGATCGATACAGTTCCTCTATTAGATTCAGTCGATTCAAAGCTTGGAAGGCAGTTTCTAATGGATGAGAAGAGGAAGTCTCTATTGATGCCGTCATATGCTGCTCTGAGCTCGACAAAGGTATAGAGTTTCCTATTAGAGAGGTGGGTAATTTTTTGGAGTTGTTTGATAACTCATATGCCTCGTTGTATCCTTTTCTAAAACAAAGACCAAACTAAGTCGTCGTGAGGAGTTGACTTTTATAAAACCATGAGAGCCTACTTGTTAATTAATACTTTGCCCCTGACGGATCCAACTGTGGGTACCTCTGTATGAGTTAGGGCCTTGAGGGCTACTTTTCTGGTTCCATAATGCATATTACACCCCGCTTTTTGATTCCAGATTTCTTTCATAAAACAGAGGAACTTGTTATTGAATTCGGGGAGAAAGTAAGCTGTTTTCAAATGTTCAGCCTCTATTTCCAGTAATGCTTTATTATTCATTAGTTTTTTTTGTCATAGCTTTAATTTCCTCATCAATAGGTTAATTATTGTTTATGCTTGGGGACAAGCTTTGTAATATTATAAATATTTTTAAAAAAAAGTATAAATATAAAAGTATCTACCTTCTGTGTGTTGCCGGGAAAATTCTTGGCAGAGTCATCTGAAACAGACTCGACTCTTTTTTGACTGATTCAGTCTACACTACGTGCCAAATTATTATCGAGATAACTTTTTTTCTAATATTTCAAAAACCGTCCAATCAATTTACAGAAAATCTTCACACAATGTTGGCAACACTGAGCTGCGCAATCACTGAAATTTTCGTACTGATCTGCGCAATGTAAACAAACTGGCGCCATATTTGTTATCAGCACGGTGATTTAAAAGTGCCAAATTATTAGAAAAGTGAAAAGATGGGCCGTAAAAGCAGTTTAAGTGATGTTGAAAAGAAAACTATCACTTTAGAACTCTCAAAAGGTAAATCTACCCTATAAATTTCTAAAATGATAGGGAGGTGTCATCCAACAGTGAAAAGGTTCACCGCCGACCCTACACAAGTACGCAAAAGGGCAGATAAAGGCAAGCCGAGGGTTATTTCACGTCGTCTCATGTCACGACTTAAACGAGAGGCCACGAAGTACCCTGGACTTACCAATCAAGAGCTTTTCTGTCGCATTGGGGATCCTACTGTGTCTAAAAGTACTCGGTGTCGGTTTCTGAGGGAAATAGCAACAATAGTCAAACCTGTATCGAAGTCTCCTTTGACGAGAAATCACATTCAAAATCGATTGAAATGGGCCGAGGACAATATGAAGATTGACTTCTCTAAAGTTTTCTTCACAGACGAAACTGGAGCAACACTTGATGGGCCAGATAGATGGTGCATAGGCTGGGTAATGAACGGACAGAATTGCCATCAGCGTTTTAGACATCAACAAGGCGGTGGAGGCATAATGATCTGGGGTGGTATTATTGGAAACACATTAATTGGACGGTTTTTGAAATATTAGAAAAAAAGTTATCTCGATAATAATTTGGCACGCAGTGTAGTCGGAATCTTAGTGTTGCTTTCGGTCTGGTACAGCAGTGTTTCCCAACCTATGGCCCAAATAGGCCATAGCAAATTTCAGGTGGGCCACATAAATTTTATAATTGGATATATTATATGTAAAATGAAAGTAATTATTTTACATAATAATAATTTCATAGGCCTTAGAAAAATTCTGGATTCAAACTGGATCATAAGCCAAAAAAATTGTCTGGCAAGCTAATCCTGCGGGCCATTATTACCATAATGTGTTCAAACCTCAATGCAGGCAGCATACATTATATTTCACTCCCACGCATATTTTTCCTCCTTGTCCTTTTTACTCTTCATTTACTTCCTTCTTTTTTTTATTTTCTTCCTCTTCATCTCTTTCTCTTTCGCTTCCGATTCTTATTCATGTGCCTTTTTTGCTTGTCTGAATATTTAATAGCATCTAGTCTGGCACAGTATTCGGCAAACTCCTTTTAGGGACAATTTCGCTTGTGTCGGGAGTAAATTTCTTACGGGCACACCATTATTGCGGCTTTGTGTCAGACTAAGCTCTTCGTAAATAAGCATATTAGCCGATGAAGATAATGTAGATTCCTTCTAGTAAGCATTTGAAACAATCGATTAAAGTAGTTTGGTATGGTTAGCCGAATATCCAGCAACGCAATGAAATCGTTGATTCCTTCCTTCCTTCCTTCCTTCCTTCCTTCCTTCCTTCCTTCCTTCCTTCCTTCCTTCCTTTGGCCCATCCGTTTCATTCATCATTTCTAAGCCAAAACAACCAAATCATCTAAAAAACAGATGTAAATAAATCAATGAAAAGTTTAAAAGAAATTCTTTATTTTGAAATCTGAGAACGAACTAAAGAGGAAGGAAAGAGGAAAATAAATAAATAAAAACGTAGATAAGAGTGTTTGGGAATAAAAAGAAAAGGAAAATGAAAGACGAAAAGGTGGAAACTGAAGAAGTCTTTAGTCGTTTTTAAGATAGAAAGATGTTTTAAAGTCGTTTTTATATAGAAAGAAGGATACGACTAGGGAGAAGAAAAATGTCGACTATTTGAAAGCGAAAGATGACGGAATAGAACAAAAGAGATGGAGGAAAAAAGTAGTAATAGTAGTAGCAGTAATTCTAAATCAATGAGAATAAAATGAAAGAATAATAATAATAATAATAATAAAAATAATAATAATAATAATAATAATAATAATAATAATAATGATGATGATGTTGGTGGTGACCAATGAAATGAAAAAAGAAATTAAGGAGGCAAATATGAAAATTTTTTAAAAGTGACGGAATCAGAGGAACAGAAAAAGAAAGAATATAAAAGAATGAAAATGGTTCTGGGCAAAGGAAGCAAAAAAAAAAAAGAAAGAATATGTCTGAAAAGACGAGAAGAAAAAAGAAGTAAAGAAAAAAAAGTTAATTTCATACAAACGATATTTGTAAAGAAGAACGAGAGAAAAGGAAATAATCAAGACAAAACATATAAAATGATCTTTCTAAGCGGTGAGGATCGAACTCACGATTCAGTCTTAATTAATACTAGCGTGACAAGCTTACTAACCATTACATCACGGCGAAGTGGTCTGATGATTCTATAAGCGTAGCTTAGAGGTGACAAAAGGCCGACGATATGGGACATCTAGTGAAGATCGAACTCACGATTCAGTCTTAATTGATCTAGTGAGATAAGTTTTTCTCTTAAACCTTGATTCGCTATTCACTTACTCAAAACCTCTCGGTGGGTTATGCGTTGTTTTCCTCTGTTTCTCTTGTCTTCAATCTGCCATGTGGGTATCAAATTTTCCAACAGTTCTTTCCTCAAAATGCACCCTAGAATTTTCAACCCTTTTTCTTTTTCCCTTCCTGGTGTTAATTAAAAGTGACTTTTTGTTTTTATTTTCTCTAAAACTTCGTCGTTGTTTACATGTTCGGTCTATGGAATTTGAAAACCGTTCCCTTCCCGCCATAAATATAGACTTAAAACAGACAGAACGAAAACGACGGCCATTAGGTATAAATTAACAATATCTATCTATCTATCTATCTATCTATCTATCTATCTATCTATCTATCTTAGGGTCTGTGTAGTAACTTGTATTCAGGGTTTAAGCCTTTATAAAAGAGCTGATTTGGAATGCTCAACTGCGTGGCAGGAAAGGTATACACATTTAAAAGATTGGCGAAACACTATCATCTTACCTTGAAAATAATTTTAACATTTGTGAAATTTAAAATCGATATTGAGTAATTTAGTATGGCACAAGGCCACAATTTTAGGGTACATGGTGACGATTGAATTTCATTTTGTCCTCGAAACTAGATTGGATTCCATTGTTCCGTTGTTTAATTACCTCCTTTTACTAAGTTTGTCTCAAGGTTAGGGAATAAGCATCACGACCAAGGGCCAAATTCTCTACATCAGTAACAATTCCCGAGATGACCATGATATACACTGCACTACCGTGAAGAGCATTAAATGATAAAGATTTGCTATGTGAAGCTACAAGTGGGAGCTACCTAGCTAGGATTGAAAGGACTTCAGTGATATTAATCGTAGAAACCCGTTTACTGTCCTGTGCCACACGTTGATGCAAGAGCTTGACCCAAAGACGGGAATAAGAGAATATTGAAAATGTATAAAAATACATAAACCCAGGCCTTCATGTGGAATCTAAAAGGAAGATACAAACAGATATTGTAAGGAGAGACACAGAAAGACACGGACAGTTATTAGAAGGAGAGACACAAAATGACACAGATAGATATTCGAAGGAGAGACAACGAAAGACACAGATACAGGAAAGAGAGCCACAAACTGACACAGGTGGATATTGTAAGGAGAGACTCAGAAAGATAGATATTGGAAGGAGAGACACAAAATAGCATAGAGAGATATTGGAAGGAGAGACACAAATCGAGACAGATAGATATTGGAAGGAGAGACAAAAAGTGACGCAGATAGATATTGGAAGGAGAGATACAAAATGACATAGATATATTGGAAGGAGAGACACAAATTGACACAGATAGATATTGGAAGGAGAGACGCAAAATGACATAGAGAGATATTGGAAGGAGAGACTCTGAAAGACACAGATAAATATTGGAAGGAGAGACTCTGAAAGACACAGATAGATATTGGAAGGAGAGAAAAAAGTGACGCAGATAGATATTGGAAGAAGAGACTCAGAAAGACAGATATACGAAGGAGAGACACAGAAAGACACAGATAGATATTGGAGGGAGAGCTCTGTAGCAACCGTTATGAAAATAGTCTTAGAAGAACAGGAATAAGATTAGTATTCAGAACGCAGCCAAGATAGCGTTAGTCCGGGCCAAAACACTAACCTCCATAACGGAAGACGAGGTGCTGGTGGGGCTCACGGTTGCTGGTAGTTGGGCGGGGGGATTTGGTTTAGTTATTTTAGTAATGACTATTCCGGTTAAACGGCTTCCAGTGTCACGGTGGCAAGTTATGTAATAAAGAGTAGTTAGCACATCCTAGTGTCAGTGTTTACGAGTGGAGGCGTACATGGAACCTCGTTCACACTGACTGGAATCGTCTTCCTACATTTACTCTTCTGACCTACCGTACATCTTCGCTTGACCTTCTGAAAGCTTATAAAAGTTAATGCAAAATGTACGGACATAATTTATTTGGAATTAATTGCTACTAAAATAAAAAATGGGAAATGAAAAGGGAAGGGGAGAGATAAAAATGAATAGAGAGAAAAGGAGCGCGACATTGAAGAAGATAGAGAGAGAAAATGAGAGCGAGGTAGACCGAAAAGGAGAGAGAGGTAGAAATAGAGAAAGAAAGCCAGAAGGAGTGACAAATGGGAGAGAGAAGGAAAGGGACAAGGATGGAGCGAAAGAAAAAGAGAGAAGGATAGAGATAGAGAGAAACGGAATAAGAGCGCAAAGTTGAAAGAGAGAGAGAGAAAATAGACAAATAGAGAGCAAGTAGGGAGAGAGAAAAAGATAGAGATGGTAAGAGAAGGCGAGAGAAAAGAGGAGAGAATGAGAAGTAGGGGTGAGAGAAGGAAAGCGATACAGAAGGGGAGAGAGAGTGTAGATTGACTGAGAAAAAGAGTGATATAGAGAGGAAAGGGGAGAGAAGAACTAGTAAGAAAAGAGAGAGAGAGAAAAAGCGTGATAGAGAGAGTGAGAGTGAGAGGGAAGTAGGGACAGATAGAGAGAAGAGAGAATGAGATAAAGAAGACGAGAGTAAAGGAGAGAGAAGTAGAGATATAAAGAGAGGATGAGAAAGAAAAAGAGAAAAACAGCTAGAGGGAGAGGTCTATAAATTATTTTGATTTTCGATTTTTTTACTCCAAAAGAAACTAAGAAAATCGAAATAATTACATGATCAAGATGTTGACGTTCCACATAACTTCAAACAAAAGATTCGGAAGGAAACTCCTTTTAGTACTGAAAGGAGCTATAACAGCTAATGGACTTGAGAAACCAATTTTAATGAAAAATTGTTTTAATCGAAAGCTCGTTCAATCAATATCGATTATAAGGAAACAGTTAATATTAACATTTCCCCTACTATTAGTGGGTGGTTCATTGTGATCAGCATATTATAGATTATAATAATGAATTCGTTCTTCACTAGATGCTCCATAGTCGTGGGCCTTGTGCCAAACTAAGGGATGTTGCAATTAGAGCGTCTTTTTTGTTTTATAAACTAAAAGTAATATATGAATCATGAAAATGTTTTTTTCTACACAGTGGAGTAGGGAGGAGGCTCGGTGGAGTAATGGATTGCGGCTCGGATTGAGGAATCGGAGAGCTGAGTTCGAATTCCAGTCGAATTCATTACATTCACTGAGGTGCTAATACCCTTGGTATGAATCCTCTTCATCTGCCCTCAGGACAGACCGGGTTCTATAGACTTGGATGTCAACTAGTCTACCGCAGAAAGAATTGGAAACCTACTGCGGAAAAAAATCTGGCTCTTCAGTCATATATCGAAAGATACATGATCGCCTAAGCATGTATTAAGCATGGCACATAACTGACTGACTTTCCAGTTGAATCCATTACATTTACTTACGGGCTAATACCCTTGGGAAAGGCATGACTCCTCTTCCTCTGCCCCCAGGACAGACCGGGTTCTATAGCCTTGGATGGCAACTATTCTACCGCAGAAAGAATTGAAAACCTACTGCAGAAAAAAAATCTGCCTCTTCAGTCATGTATCGAAAGATACATGATCGGCTAAGCGTGTATTACGCATGGCACATAACTGACTGGCTGATTTTCCAGTTGAATCCATTACATTTACTTACTTGGGAAAGGTATGATTCTTCTTCCTCTGCCCCCAGGACAGACTGGGTTCTATAGCCTTGGATGGCAACTGGTCTACCGCAGAAAGAAATGGCAACCTACTGCGGGATAAAAAATCTGCCTCGTCAGTCATGTATCGAAAGATACATGATCACCTAAGCGTGTATCACACATTGTATACAACTGAGTGACAGTTCCGTTCTTAAACGCTTTATGGTGACATTATCTCCATTTTTGTTATTTTTTTGTTTTTGAGGCCTTTTGTATTCCTCAGTATTATACGCCATACAGTAGTTTGTTTATATTTTCGATTTCTATACAAGTTCATCTTTTAGTGTGTGTGTGTGTGCGTGCGTGTGTGTGTGCGGTGCATATGTGTGTGCGGTGCATATGTGTGTGTGTGTGTGTGCTGCTTTACATTTGAGTCCTTAACAAGAGCCTTTATTTACCTTAGGTATCAGATGAAAATATTAGTAAATGATTATATCAAACAGCAAAACAAAACAAACAAATGAACAACAACAACAACAAAAACCATAAAACCACCACCACCAATAATAATAAAGAGAATACAGAAATTCCACATGATTATCCATTATATCATGACATTACTCTCCCCCCTCCCTTTTTCTTTTATCTTCCCATTCTCACCCTTATCCCTTCTAATGTTCGCGGCTTACAGCCATATCACGTTGAAACACCGGTTTGCACACGATCACACCAAAGTTAAGCAACGCCGAGCTTGGTCAGTATCTAGATAGGTGACCGCTTGGGAATACCATGTACTGTAAGCTTAGATGTACGGGTAGCATAGTAGATAATAACCTCGAATTTTTAATCGGAGTTAAGCCGAATTTCAATTTTCGTTGGGTTCGTTATATTCACTTAGGCGCAAAGGAAGAGTATGAATGACTCTCTTCTCCCTCCAGCTATGGGTTAATTAGTAGGACTTGTATCATTAAATCATTGTTATTAAAAATATATATTCTTACAGTCTAAAACCATTTTCTGGCTTTAAATAACTAGCAAAACGTTGATAACCTCAAGATGACGAAACAATTAATCAATCTTCAAGTCAACCGTCATCTATGCTAAATGTTCTCATAATATGCAGTTCTTTTTTGTACTTTACAATAACCTCATTCAGTAATCCTCTACCTTGAGTGGCTCTTGAATCTAAATGCCCTTGGGAAAGATATGAATCTACCTTTTCTCCCTCAAGCTATGAGTGAATTAGTAGAACTTGTATAAGTAAATCATGATCATTTCCCCCAAATTCTTACAATCTAAAAACCTTTTTTGGCTTTAAATAACTTGCAAGGGGTTGATAAGCCGTAAAAACAAATCAAGTAGTCAATCTTCTTTATACCATCTGATATTCGCCGCCTGTCCATTTTTTAAATCTAAATATCACACAAACATGGACGAGTTTCACATTCAAAATTAAAATAGTCTATAGCAATATTTCTCTAAGTTTTCTTTCTTGTGGCTTATTTTGGTGGGTAAAAATGTCAGGCCCACAGGAGCACAAATAGAAATTTCATGTAACAGGAAATACATTTTATTTACAAAAATGTAGTAGAAAATATAAATCCTGCCTAATGACTACACTGCTCTTGTTGGCTATCAGCTTGTCAAGTTGAATTTTCAAGTCTTGGTTTTCTCTTTGGCCTAAAATTGGACTAGCGATTCTCTCTTTTCAATCTGAATCTCTAGCCAATTTAAAAAATTTCTCAGGCCCATTATGGGCATAAAAGCTCACATTGCAAATCACTGAATATGATACTACAATTGTATACAATCTTTTTCAAAGCATAAATAATTTTTTTCTTCATATTTCTAACACTGGTATTTTTACTGTCTAGGTTGGGAGAGAAGAGATGGACTCCTAACTTCCCAAGGGTATTGGCATGAAATTGAATGCAACAACCTCAGCTGGAATTTGAACTTGACATACCAACCCACATTCCATGCTGATAACTGCTACACTATATTTGTAGATGTGTGTTATCTACAAATATACATGTCATCATCAACAGTCCCATGAGTGGGTGTGGTTACAGGGTCACTTGGCAGCTGAACACCTGACCAGCTCCATTCACATGTTTTGCTATGTATTCATTTATGTGTAGCATGTCTTGGGAAAATTACACTTGGTGGATTCCATCCCTCTCTAGGTCAGATCACAGTCAATGTCTTCTAACTTGATGGTTCACCTTGGCTATTGATTCCATTGGGAAACCCTCTAAGTTCAGGGTTTCTCAACCTTTTCTTTCTTGTGGCTCATTTTTGGTGTCAAAAAGATTTCAGGCCCATATAAGTACAAATAGAAAATTCCGTGTAACAGGAAATACATTTTATTTGCAAAAGCCAAATGTAGTAGAAAATATGGCTACACTCCTCTTGTTGGCTATCTATCAGCTTGTCAAGTTGAACTTCCAAGCCTTGGTTCAGCTTCAGGCGTAAATCTCCTCTTTTTTACAATCTGAACCTCCAGGCACATTTTTTAAAATTTCTCAGGCCCACTTGTGTGCCCAAGGTCCCACGTTAAAAATTATTGGGCTATAGTAAATATACCATTCAATATTATAGTCCTTAACTAGTTGGGCATGTAACCTGACGGGTGACACCCTCTGTGTCTCTGTTCACGAAACATCATAGCCGAGACTTGCTTTTTTTTTTTTTTTAAATATTATAAAGTTTGAAGGCTGAGTCAGCCAAAGCGACTTGAGCGTCACATCTCGATATATTGGAATGCACTGTATCGAAGACCCTCTGAGCTGATTGGTTATTCGATCTGAAGTATTTCTAATGAAAGGTTACGCGCTGCTTTTCTCAAAACCTGTCATCATATCGCCTGCAGTTTGGCGTGATTAATTTGCCTGTTATAGCGTTATCCGGCTGGATGTTATGGTTATATTAGGCTTAGTATAATAATAATAATAATAATAATAATAATAATAATAATAATAATAATAATAATCTATTAGGGCTGGAATCCACCGGAAATTGAGCAAAGGACAGTGGTTCGTTTATGCAAGAAAACGGTATATGTACATGCCAAAATGTATCACAGAAAACGAAAAGGCATAACATTTAATGCGTTTTATATAATCCAATACAGAATTTTTGCTGAAAAATAATATAAGGTCATAGAATATAAGGGAAAGGTTTTGAAAACTGAATGATGACCTTCTGAATTTATATGAATAGTAAAACTGTCAAAAATATTTGAAAATGGTATTCTATTAATATAAATAAATAGAAAAAATAATGTTTAGAATTATAATTCCCAAACCTTTTTTTTTTGGTCATGTCTCACCTAAGCATCTCTAAAATCATGATGCCTCCAGCCGTGACATATAATTCTTATACAAAAAGTGAACTCTTATTCACGCAAAGGAAACCTAAAAGGCCATTAACTTGGACTAAATAAGCTTCCAAAGAACACGAAATCCATGAAAGAAAAATAGAAATGAACGAAAAGACAGACGTAGTACCGAGGAAAACTTGGTAAGAAATTGTTAAAAAATAATACACACACACACACACACACATATATATATATATATATACACACACACACACACACACATACACACACACACATATATATATATAATCAAATGTAATGAGAACGAAAATATAAATTCAAACGTTCACAGCATTAATTCAAAAGAGGGCTCAATACCAAGAGTAGAGCAATAATTATTTATTATAATTTTTACATGCGGACAAAAACAACCAGTTCACTACAGAGATGAATTCATTCTTGTTTCGATGCGAGATGCACTCGCATTGAAACAAGAATGCATCTTTGTAGTGAGCAAGTTGTTTTTGTCCGTATGTAAAAATTATAATGAATAATATATCCACCTTATGTATTAACTCGTACATGCACTCATACTCACATAGTCTCACTATAAACAAATCATAGATAATAACTCATTCTCGAATAGCACCCCCTTAAAAATCAAATTGCCCCCATGTTGTTCGTGCGACTTACTTTGGGGACCATATGTTTAGAATGACGAAGAGCATATTACAAACGGAAAAGTATCCGCCTGGGTACTGTCCGTTTCACGCTTCTGGGTGATCGTCAGACACTGATACTATTCCTTTAGCGGGACGGATATATATATATATATATATATATATATATATATATAATAAAGCGTATTATATATATAATCCAAGCTTATCTTAACGTAAACAAATGGCATCATATATTATGAAATGCACTAAGTCCGACAATTATTCTAATATATTTTTTGTCTATACGTTTTTTTTTTATAGATACAACTATTTAAGTAAATGCTCTGTTTATAATAAACAGTATTACCAACATTTACTGGCATGAAAATCCGAAAAATCTCATAGAAAATATGTGTCCCCCGACAGGAATCAATGTCTGGGATACATATTTTCTTAGAGATTTCTCGGACTTTCATGCCGGTAAATTTCGTTAATACTGTTTATTATAAACAGAGCATTTACTTAAATATTTGTATCTATAGAAATAACGTATAAACAAAAAATATATGAGGCAGTTACCCGACTACGTGTATACGGGGTCTACGGGGAATTTTTGCCCGTGCCTACGGACTTGGTTTTGACCCCGCAATAAAAACGGACTTGTGCCACACCCTGCCACGCGGTGGGTGGGGGGTGTTTGGGTAAGTTAAATATCCTTGCTTCGGTAATTAGTTGGAGATTCGTCTCCAGTTGTGCTGGTCGAAATCTCTGTCTAAGGGCGGATAGGAACCCAGGCGAGGCTATGCCGAAGGACAGCTACCGGACCCCGTGCATACGTGGTCTACGGGGAATTTTTGCGCGAGCCTACGGGCTCGGTTTGGCTCCGCATTAAAAAAAAACGACCTTGTGCCACACCCTGCCTCGCGGGGAAGTAAGGTAAATATCTTTGTATCCGGAATTAGTCGAGAGTTGGGATTCGTCTCCAACTGTGCTGGTCGAACTCCCTGTCTACGGTTAGAGAGGATCCCCAGACGAGGCTCTGTCGGGAGGCAGAGTCTCGTCTCGGGAAACAGCTATCCGACCCCGTTTTATACAGGGAATTTTTGGCCAAGACTACGGGCTCGGATATCCCATATTAAATTCGGACTTGTGTCACATCTGACCGCGTAGGGCGGTTGGTAGATATCCTTGCTTCTGGAATTACTAACCTGCCAACCGATTCCCTATCTTTCAGTAGTGTATTCTCTTTTACAATAAACCTCTTTTCTTTCATCTACGCCTGTGTTGCTGTTCCTTTAACTCGAGTACCACCTTTGTCTGTTTGTAACCTATTTAAAGATCAAAAGAAGTTGCTATAGTTATCGCTCTTATTTTCTCAATGTTGTCTACAAAAATCAGCGCATTTATAAACATACAAATAAATTAAAAATTCTTAAATGGATGTATAAGTTTGCGTACGCACGAGCGTGTGTGTGTGTTGTGTGTGTGTGCGCGTGTGTAAACTAAGAGAAGAAGAGTTCAATATAACATTGGAGAGTATTTTGAAAGGGACAATGATTTTTAATTGTTATTTAAATTTAATTATTTTCAAATATCTTCGGCGCCATAATCATCACCATCATCATCAGCAGCATCATCATCAGCAGCAACAAGTGAAAGTTATTGAATTTCCAGCCCTACGCCTGAAAAATCTCTTAGACAATAGAATTAAAGGCAGCTATGGAACTCGAAATCTATGTCAATTGCACTGTCAAAATGCATGTAAATACAGTAGGAGGTGGGGATTGCATTCAAAAGCACGTCTGTATCATATTATG